ACTCAAATGTATTGTTTTGTGCAATCAATATTAACAAAGATCGTGTCCATTAAAATGTGCACACTGTTCTGTAGGCTGAATATAGCACATAAAACTTGTTGGTTTTAATCAATAAAATGCCCAGAGCTGCACAAAAATTGCTAGGTCATGAAACTACGAAGATATTAAACTGGGTTTTTTTTTAATAAATCTCTTTTTTATATGGGCATGAGTAACTAATTCTTTTATAAATTATTAAGTATTCTTTTCATTGTTTGCATCATATTAATACCTAGGGGACTTGTTAATGGACCAGGTCTCCAGCTGCTCTGTTTCCAGTAGCTGCTCACATAAAAGTGAGAAATTCCCTTACACGGTATCTTTGACTTACTTTTAAAACCATTCCAAATTGGTTTGGATAAAGGCCGTGGGGGTAAGGCCAATATTGCTACATAGACTGAAAACTGGCTGGCAGACAGGATCCCATAACCCATAATGCGCATATATATAGTGAGGGTCAGACTGATGGGGCCAGATTAGGGGTAACATCGACAAGACTATCTGTGAACTGAAGCTCCTGGAAGGCATGTGGTATAAAGCTGGATGCTTGGAAAAGTAACAGTGTCATGCAGCAGTGGGTGTGAGCAAAAACAAGGGTCTAGGACTCAGATGTTCTTAAAATTAATCTTGGAGACATATTCTAACTTCTTACCTGGAAAAAAGGCAGCTGCCAAACTACAGGGTCTTGATCTATGAAGTGTAGAAATTCCTTCTAGGCTTTGGCTTAGCTTCTGCTTGTATCTAATAGAACAGAAGAGTCAGAACCATCCCCTCCAAAAAGAAAGTAGGCAGGGAGAAGACATTTTGGTTGTAACACCTAGGCTTGAGGAGGAAGACCTGATAGTGGCCAGGGCCCCGGTAGAAAAGGGCTTCTGCATCTTTATAGATGATTATTGCAGCAGTTGCCTCAAAAGTCAAGTTCCAAAGCCTTGAAATTGCAGGATATTGAGGGCCCCTAAGGCTGGTTAGAAGGGACTAAGACTTTTCACTGCTCTGAATCTAGTCCACCTCAGTACTGAGGAGTGCCTGAAAGTTAATCCCATGATGAATGGTCTTCACAAAGTTGGCTGTTCCTGGTCCACATCAAAACTGGCATTAAACAGCAGTCTCAATAAAAGATCAGAGGAACATGAGCCAACTTAGGCTATCACCCTTGCAGATTGTGTTTGGGGTGCATTCCTGGGGCTCTGGGGGAGGTTTCTAATGCCACTAACATCTTTCCTTTTCACATACACGGAGATAAAGATGGCAAGTTATCAGGGAGGGAAGCAATAACACCAAGTGTGTCCTGAAGACTAACTGAACAGCATAGGCATCACCCTGAAATAACGTGAGATAAAATGACTACCAATAAGACAAAAACAGAATGTATGTTAACAAGGCAGAGGCTTCCCCAATCCCATTCCAAATAATTTTTTACTTCTTTCCTAGAATTTTTTTTAGAAATATTTTCATCCTGAAAGAGATTACCAGGATGGAAAATTTTTGCCTGAACAGATAAACTTCTGCAAAGCTGCAAGTGGCTGCAAAAGGGACTTAAAATGAGATGTGTCATGCATTCCTATAACTAGGAACCACTGAACTGCCTATGTTCATTGTGAATGAGCATGAATCATTCCTCACTTGTTTACAGTGAAAACATGGCTTTAGAGAATTGAAATATAAATTTCAATAAAGTCAGGATTTACTAAACTAAACAAACTCATTTTCTCCCTTGCTTTTTAGAATTGCCCAATAGTTTTCTCACTTTGGACTTGTCAAGATTTTTCCCCGTATGTTTCTGAATTCCTCTTTCACAGCTTAATATAACAGGTTAATTTCATTTTTAAAAGTCAGAGTATACCAGTAGGATTTGAGGTCAATACTAAGTTAGCTACATTCCCAGAAAATCTAATAATTTTTAAAGTGTGGTTTTTTTTTTTTTTTTTTTGCATACATGAAAAAAGTTTAGCCAAAAAACTGAGGATCCTCCAGGATTCAGCCGTTTGACTTCAACTGATCTGCATGTAAAGCCTGAGAATAACATCTTGGAGACCAGTTTGAAAACATATTGTGAAGCCATGGATAATATTTCTAGGCAAACAAGTAGCAACATTCGTAACAGAGCCATTTAAATGTGCACAAAAAGGAGTATATGGCTTCTACTGGTTTATGGGAATGTGCAACTAAAATTATAAATAAAAACTTACCATAGTCAAGCTGGGATCTACCTGTGAGATGCAGAAGATAATCGTCATTAGTATAGACTCTCTGAGCGGTGAAAGAAAAACCTATGATATCTGCACATGCTGCACCAACACATTACACACTGCAGCTGTATGAAACCAATGGAACTATCAACAAACATGACATGGGTTAACTGAAACCAGAATTTTGCATTCTCTTCTTTTAAAATAAGAGGGACACCAGGGATCTTTTTTTATTTTATTTTATAAATCAATAGCTTTATAAACATACAAATAAATCAAATATATTATATTTGTGTTGAAATATCATCTCAAGGTTTTACACTAAAAATTATTTTGAGTTTAGAGCTGAGTTTAGGAAACACTTAAAACTCAAAACACCCTAATTACAAAAATACATCAGCTCAATTTTCCTATCTTATTCTGTAAAGAACACTATCAAATTTAAAATTAGATCCTTAGACTGAAGGAAAGCAAAGTAAACAAAACACAGGGTAGAATATGAAACTCATTTGTAAGGAGTCTGAAACACCTTTGTTTAGACAAGATTCAAAGTTACAAATCTTTATTTCCTTTGAGCAGGGAAACTTCCAGCTAAATGTTGAGTGTCATACAACACAACACTTTGATTTTAAGCACACAAACATATTTCACCAGAGATAATCAAATTACAGGGATCAAAGTCATTTTACTCTCTAGCTCTCATGGAAATAAAACACTTTACTGAATCAGGGCCTTTAT